ATATTCATTCTTTTACTCATTTGGTAGAAAAACGTTTTCTCCTAACGGTATACTCGAAGGAAAGGTATAAGTCGGTTTTCAAAAACTTCCAATTGCTGATTAATTTTGAACCCGACCTGCCGTTACAATTATATTCAGGGTTCACAAACTACAAGTCGTACATTTTCCGCATACGCAAAACCATACATTTCCCTACGGTATTAAGAGGACACCATAAGGGGTTCATAGAATTTGGTTGTGGATTTTAGCCACATTGTAATCTTTACAAGCAACATTAGCAAATACAGAGATACGATGTTTTATGAGCGGGCATTTCACGGTACTAAAAATCTCATAATTAGAATCTTCTTTAAAGCCAAATTGTACCCTTCCTTCGGGCATAAAATTGGAAAACGTAATTTCTTGCTGCATGAGTAAACAAATGAATATTTGTATGCATGTCTCCTATGAAATATAATTGAATTTTCGGGCATCGAAAATCGATTAGAAAAATCCATGCTACTTAAGTAATCATTTTACTTAGTGTGATTTTTGCGTGCGACCGGGAAGAAGTTTGTTCGAAAGCCGGCATCTCGAGGTAACTGAATTTTTATGCGATTATGCTGTATGATGATTAATTTTAAGACCTAACTTAAGTAATCTTTTTGAAACGAGAACGCATTTCAGAATTTCGGTTAACATTTCATGAGTTAGCGCACCTACTGCACATATATGGGAATATATTGGTACCGACTTCCTCTGCGGAAGTTCAAATCTCTGTATCCTCCTCATTCGTTATTTCTGTTCTGCAGCGACAGGTTGCAACTGATAAGCCGTTGCGAAATTTGTTGGTTCCAATAAATTCTGCTGTGTATGCCTACTTTAAATATAGCGTACTGTCGAGTATTCTAAGCTACAAATCAAATGCTACTTTAGAGATACTTCTCGACTCACTGGTCAGTTTGATGTCTTGCTTCCCACAGCAGTGGCTCGAAAGTACGCCTCTGATCCGCGGTACCGCAAAAACGTCCATCAAGCTCTGCCAGATTTTTTGAAATGTGGATTTGTGAAGTAGTTTTTGGAGCCTCGATTGGCCAACTGCCCCGAGCAACACGCCGAGTAGAGAGGGTATTTCCTGCCATTACTCTTCCTTGAGTGTGCAGTGTGTGCAAACCTGTGTTTTCTCCGGCAGGATTTTTTCAATTTCATGGGCCCCTGTTGAGAGCGTCGATATGTCAGAAATGGTTGCTGTCCAAGCAGAAAACTCCCGCATCTTCACGATATCCCTCATCACAGTTGACATACGTGGTGTCTGATTAGCAGTGAAGGGAGGCTTGAAATACAGACAGCTTATCAGTATCTCTATGCTGGCCAAGCAACTGGCCTCTTTGTTCCAAAAACGTGCAACCTAAACCGTGTGACTACAGATGTCTGGAAGGACTTTGGGTATCGATTGCGCACCCATCATTAGTCAGCGTGCATTTCGTAGTCGGACTTGTGTCTTCCTGATAATCCGTACCATCTGCTTTCATGATGTTCATCGGTCAGTTCATGTCTTCTGGTACGTACCGTTTAGCGACAGGAGCGGATGGCCCGCGGGGTTAAGGGGCGCCATATATTCTCGCTTTGACTCAACTTGGTTTGACTAATTAAGCCAAAGTCCTTTTTTTCTTCCTAGGGCCCTACTCTTGTGAATGATGAAATGACGAAGAGATGCGCAAGTGTCCTCGCAACTCTGCAGTGTTCGGCCCCAGAAGATGAACTTATTGTTCGTTTCTGGCAGAAGGGCCTCAGTCAGAAAACTCGCCAGAACGTTTGCCACACCCACCGCTCTGTCCACTCTTCGCGCCGAGCCTCCGGCTCCAGCAGCACTATCGGAACCAATGACACCCCCTTCGCCATTAACGCGCTGGACACCCTTCATTTCTGACTTTGTTTCAGTGTATATTTATCCTCTTTACATCAGCCAGTTCCCGATTGACTTTTTGAGACCAGATTAGTAACAAATCCACTTTTTTATCTCTGCTTTGTCAGACCAAAGCTTAGGGCTTGATCAAAGGAAAGCCGGTGGTTTCCGAACTAACATTTAGTCACGGCATGCGAAGAATGCGAAATGATAATTGACGGACCGCCGCATACTTCCTTGCCTCCATCTGGATATCGGAATATGCGGACTCGTGGTTCAGACCGTTAACCAATTATGAATCTCCGACAACATCTGGACTCTTGAGCCTGCAAGGAGTCCAGAAGTCCACCCGGCTGGCCGCCGTGGCTGTTAACACATGGACTGTGTCGTCTTCAGTTCACGAGGCCTCGGCCTCTTTGGAAATGGTCCCACTTGCGAGACTACTATTTGTACCTCTGTTGACGGTCCCTTCGCGCCGTAACAACGCCTGTTGGCGCCAGCCACGAATAATCAGTGGCCATAGCACTTGAACCCAATCGAAGTCGGGGTCGCACCTACACGTCGTCTGGCAGTATGACCACGGTTCTCGCCCTCATCTTTACCTATGACCAAAACCATCACCTTACCTTACCCACACCTGCGAATGTTACTTTGTGTAGGACCCGTATACTAACCAGACTTGGCAATTCGCGTTCGACGACAACCACAACTGTCTAGAGGGCGCGGTTATGATCTGGACGTGGTCTGCCATGACCGATGCTTGTGCGGTCTCCGCACCGCTCCCACCTCCCATCCATCTCAACGGTCAGACAAAACCAAGACTACTGGAGATCGGCGTGGGCGCAGTGGCTTGGGCCAAACCTACGCGCAGAGCGTGCCAGGCTTCAGGTGGTATTTCGGATGTCACCGGACAGGCGTCATACAGACCGCGTGGGGACCATTGCAGCTTTGTCGTCAATGCCAGGAAGACTTCGCTACTCCATCAGCTGACAAATCTCCAAGTCAAGACTTACTCTCGTGACCGTTTAAAAGCGTGTTAGGTTCCTCAATTATTAAATTAAAAGGTGAGCCAGCGTGTTAGAACGTGGTGGGTCTGTCCTATCCTCACGCCGTTTTCCAGGCGCAAATCTCCAAGCCAACGGGAGACTGGGTTGGAAATAGTTACCAACACGCCGTAGGCTGCGATAGGTGTCTGGGGCTGGCCCAACAGGCAGGCAGTTCAGCTGCCCCGGCATCGTGCGACGTAGTCTACGCGCTTTAGCAGTCCACAACCTCGGAGCGTATGGTGTTCACGTTTACAGAGTAGGCAGCACATAAAGTCCAGATAGCCGGTGCAAACCATCACGACAAACTATACGGTCCGTAAGACGCCCCAACCCCGCCGCCCGCGTGAAGTCGGGGAACTTGCACCAAAGCAACTCTACTAGGTCATTCACTACTCGAAGACTTTGTCAAGCACGACCTCAACGCCGCAGTTGGAGACGAGGCTGGTTCAGACGGAGAAGTCAGAGGACTATACTCCGCAGGCGACGCGGAAACACTTGTAGGCCACAGCACGTGGACGCCATACGCCCAAGCACTAACACAAGCGGTGCTGGTGTGCCTGGAACGTTGCGTAGCCGTGGACGCTTGGAGTGCAACTCCGCATAGCCAGGACTGCGCTCGGGAGCTAGAAGACGTACCTCCAAAAAGGATTTGTAGACGCGCCAGACACAGACAACCAACCAGCCTCCCCGAAGCAACAACAGCCCAGATACTAACATACTGGGAAAGGGGTAACCTCGACATCATGTCGACGGCCGCACCCTAGAGTCCGACAAGCAAGACGCAGTCCACAAACGGGTGACAGCCGTCAATGACTCGCACGAGACCACGCATAAATGCTGCACGACGACCCCGTGGCAGCTAAAGGCATAGGAACTCCAGAATTGGTCGACAAACTAACGTGACCACCGGATCGTGCAGCCGGTTGTCCTCGGGCGCCACTGTCGCGGCGTCGCCGTTCACGAGCGCACACAAGCATCCCAGAGCCTGGAAGCCGAGCTTTGTATTGTCTCCGCTGCCAGGTCTCCTGCGCAGATATGCATGCTGACTGTACAGACGACGGAACTCCCAAAACAGGCGAGCGAGGACAGTCTGCGAAACAAGCGGCACATAGGTCTTCTGCCAGGGAATGCTCGGAGTATATCAAACCCTAGGCGGGTGAGATAACTATTTCTCATTATGTTTAACAAGCCGCTTAAAGGCTAGCACCAGGCCCCCTCAAAAGTAGTCCAATGCGCCAGGTGGTACGCAACCCCTATGCCGTATTTTTTCAAGAAAAAATAAGACAGTAGAGTTACTGAACTTACTTGGAAACCCTAATGTAAAGAGGCCCAACAAATACCAAGCAAACAATGCAGTAGATGCGCAATAAAGCAATTGATGGGTGGTGAGCAGTGGGTATCTTGGTGAAAGATGGGGAATAAGTGGGGATAGGTGCTGCATTAAAGAGAGCTCATCTTTCAGAAGACGATTTGGAAAAATAGACTGTACATTGTAAAGCCTAAGCTTCGGTCCAAAATCTTCAAAATACATGTGCGACCAAGATACCACAGCTAGGGTTCAACGACTGAAGACCTCTAGGGTTGGCACAAAAGTACACTGGGCTGGAGAATAGGGTTTAAGATTGCTCGGAGGTAGTGGGTTAGGAACAAGAAATGCAAGTAAGGGACTGACAAAAGAGGAAGGGTGGTATACGTAGACAAATTCAAAAATTCGGGCCGCGGAAGTAAACGGATCACAAGTTTCAAAATAAGCCCACCTTAAAAAGGGGCACATACGTAAGGAAGACTGTTGAAAAGAAAATTTACTTGGCTTGACGCTAAGGGCACAGTGGAAGATAAGTCTTGTTTGGACAATGGCGTCGAAAGACAGAGGTAGAAAGGAGAGCGAAGCTGCAGGATCCAAGTTGTCTGCTTCGGACAAAAAATAAGTCTGGGATCAGGTGAAGGGTGTTTACAACCACAATCTATGAAGACAGACATGCTCAAGTCATAAGCAGCAGCAGTGGGAGGCCAGAGAGCAAGAGTGCCGGTTTGCAAAGCCCCTGAAGTGACACAGATAGCCTGAAGAGTCAACGGGAAGGTTTAGCCAGATTGACGAGCTCAGCCGAAAGGGGCGGGTACAAAATCCGAGGGCGAGCCTATCCAAGGAAAGATACAAGATTGGGGGGGAGTTTTAGGAAGGTGTTTAGCTTTGGATTAACGCCAGTGGGGACGCTGGGATGGCGCTAATAAATATGGTAGAGTTAAAAGAATCAAAAACAATAAATGCAGTGATCGATGCCAACACAGCAGGATAAGGTACCAAAAATAAAGAAGGCACACACTGGGGCAATGCAGTACCTGACTAAAACTGAAGAAATCCGAAGTTGTAAAAGTTCAGAAAAAAAGGCGCGGTCGAACAAATGGGGGTCGGGTTGGACGATTTCGTAACGAACTCGTGGAAAAGGGAATGTACGTCGTGGATATGATGCAAACATCATCTCGACCCAGATGTAGGTCGTAAGTTGAGCGATCAAATTGGGAATATGTCAAACGGCGAGTCAGCAGACATGCAGTTGGGCATCAGTGCAGAGGACGTCAATACGTTCAGGGTAACTCACAAAGCAAATCGATACAACTGGACTACGCTAGTAGATTCGCGTGAGGGATAAGTTAAAAGTCAAATTGCATATTTCCAACGTGCGGCCCGAACATGAAGGCGTTTTCGCCGCCCCCTTCGGTAGTAGATGGGTTGACTTGTGCCGGATTCTCGCCCTCGTTGTAAGCGTCTTCCGGTTGTGCTTCATCCAGTGGCTGTAAAATAAGATAATTTGGATTATCTGATGTCCTAGATAAGAAATTGAAAATTGCATATAAAGCTTGAGAATGAAGACGGAGCAAGCAGACCTGGAGTAAAAAAATTACCGCACCTCTGTACCTCAAGACGCAGGAAAAATTGTACCGTATGCTAGACATAGTCCAGTGGAGGGTGAAAACAAAGGACGTGCACGTAGTGGCAATGCGTCAGGTGTACTATCGTCCAATATGGTCCAGTGATCTTGACTTTTTCCTGCGACTGTAGGCTAGTGGGGACTAGGGTGCAGATCTGATACTACCTAAGTCTTTCTCAATAATTCATATAAGCAGAAAACGGTCTAACTCGTCGGAAACGGTGACTGAACCGCTAGTTCTCGAGTTATTAATGTTCAACTTAAAAGTGCGGAGCCTGTCGTGTACAAATATCATTGGGTAAGGTTATCAGTGTTTATCAGTCTGCATGCATCCGAAACACGTGTAATACAAGCAAGAGGTTCGCATCATTATGTACTATGAGGAGATGCAGAAGTCGGTGGCTAACTTTTAACAGTAGAGGGCCGGAGAGTTATCCCGGAATGACACTTGACCAATGGTTACCATTATAGTAACTCTGGCTCCAGGCCGAGTGTACTTTTGAAATGGCAACAAAATAAAAAGTGGCAAAGCTGACTTACGGAAGTGAAATAAGTTTCCAAGATGTTGTAAGCCAATTTGAAAATTGTTTCATTGGAATTCTGCTGAAGCTCCTCGATGTGATTTAAACCGCCACATGCCTCGATGGCGTTAACGACTTCTTCTAATTTATCGCCGGCGACACGCAAGATATTCGAGATTCCATCAAGCACAACTTGTACTACTTGGACGTCACGTGCGACCAGCATCTTGCACAGCGGTGGGATGACGTTTTGACTTATTAGATAACGAACCTGCAAGAGAGCATTGGTCGATCAGTCGTTTGGAGTAGGAAAGACAAATCTTATGAGTATGATTTACAAAAACTCACTTGTTTGACGGTGCCATTAATAGTCAAATTAGATATAGCCCATGCGGCCTCTTTTTGAGTCAAGAAGTCGCTGTTGGCCAAGTGACCGATGATCAGGGGCACGAGGTCGTGATCAATGACAGCTTGAACTTGATTTTGGTCGCCAGCCGTTATATTTGACAGGAACCACACCGCTTCTTTGTTGATCTTCTCCTTTGGATGATTCAGCAGATGGTGGAAATGACTAAGAGCTCCACAGTCAAGAACAACTTGCGTCTGCTGGTCTGTTCCCGTCACAATGTTTCCGACGGCCCGCAGAGCGGCAGTTTGCACTTTAAAGTTGGGATGCGACAAAAGGGGAACAAGATGTGGCACGATCTCGGCATCGATAACCATGCTGATGAGGTAATTTCCCCCGTCGGTTAGGTAGGAGATAGCCCAGACAGTGTCAACGAGTATTTGCTGCAGGCAAGAAAATTATGGTCGGTGAAAGTGGAGGTGCAAGGTAACAAGAATTGGAAAGCTGGCAATGACACCAATGTCAGTGAATTTACACAGGCAGCTTAATGTTTTGGGTAATAGAAATCTGCGTCTAGCATGTGAGCTATGATCCTGATTTCGGATGAGCATTTGGACGCGAGACAATTTATGGAATGTAGACTAAGTCAGGACTTACATTGTCCGTCGTATTAGTGATAAGATACAACAGCGCAGGAAGCAATTCCTGTATGGTCGAGACAGGAGGCGGAGGATCCTTGTTTCTGCACAAATTAACCATCACCCAAGTTATATTTCGCAAGAAAGTGATAGAGATGTTAGGTGTGAGGAGGTTCAGAAGAGGCTTTATCAATCCCATCTCAATAACCAGATCCCGAAGCTGAGGGCCATCACCGATTATGTTCCCCAGTGCCCAAACTGCCTGCTCGGACACGTTTGCGTGGTGAGACGAAAGGAGCTTTAGGAAATAAGGGACAGCACCAGCCTGCACAACGGCAGCAGTTTGTTCGGAATTTCCAGATGCAATGTTTGTTAGCGCCCACGCTGCTTCGAACTGAAGGGTAGGGCTAAAACAGACGAAAGTACGTCAGATAGCAAATATTCAAAGGAACAAAGCGATTTATAAAACTGATTCTTTTGAAGTGGAAGGCTTCGTCAAAACGGCAAAAGCCACAGTCACTTAAGTGGATATTCCATGTACTTCTATAAAGTCACAGGACTACTCGTTAACCATGACAAGCTTCATCTACCAAGTACGGGACCTTGTCAATCACGACAGGACAGCCGCTGTGCCTTGATACGAAGTCGGATCAAATTCTGAGAAAACACTCTCGTCAACTTACTTATCGGAGTCTAAACAGCTGACAAGCATTGGCAGGACGCCACAATTAATCAGTTCGTCAATGGGTGGATTGCGGTCACTTGACAATAGCTTTCGGGCAGACTGAACGACAAGCAGGCGGACTGAAGGGTTCTCGTTATTAGCGTTGGCAACGACGGCGTTAAGGTTGAAAAGAGCCGGCTTCTCCGCTTGGTCCAAGTCGGGATCCGCAGGGGGTGTAGACGGCATGTTTCTCTTTTTTTGAAGACATTCGTCCTTTTTTGTCTTCCGTAGCTCCACTTGGCCTTCTTGACGGCGCCGTCGCATTTCCTGAAATCAATTAGCATGAAAGAGGAAAATTACTTCAGCACTTTTCCCGGCATTCTTAAAGGCTAATTGCCTTGAATTCGCGTTGGCGTCACCCATAGCCCACACAACGCCGGAGCAACGAAACCGAAACTGTGGTTTACTAAAACAACGCAGGTAAGTCAAACTCATTTGTTTATGGGATTACAAGCCGCGTATGGCCAACAATGTATTAAATTAGTTCATAATTCTTTGGAAATCAGTTTGACCGACAAGTCATGTGTTTTCATTAAAGTATTAAATTCCGTCTTTATTGTAAATGAATGCTTATGTATTACATAAATCCGGTATGGCTTAGGTAAAAACATAAATATGGAGCCGAAACTATTCCCGGAAGTGTTTGACAATCACTCGGCCGAAAGGGAGTTAGGTGTAAGAAAAAAGCAAGTATAAAAATTCGACGTGTTGCATACTTTTTCTGAATTTTTTAACATATCTCTGCTGACTGTCACGTGCAGGTTGTGAGTCGCATGCCCCAACTTCCCACTACAGGGAGCATTAAAGGTTACAGCGCCTCCCATCGTTCCAGAAACCCTATTGTCATGTCTGTCAAGCGAAAGAAATATGAATGCATCTAGAATGGAGGCATTGGCGTATTCTCCACGTCTGACTCCAATCCGTAACTATATATACTGCCATATGGCAATCATGGAAGCCTTCCTTGCCTCTCTTCCTCGTGATTTCTCCATTTAACGGAAATTGCTATGGTTTAATTTAGCATGCCTTCGGTTACGACTAGCGTCCTTTCTACTGTCCTATTGCTCTGCTTAATGACAACTTTTCGAATACGCCTGTTCTCAGAAACAGGTGGTCTTCCTCTGCCCAAACCAATTATAATCCCTTGGTCAGCAGTCTATCCTTAATAGGCTGTCTATCCACCAATAATAATCAACCCTGATGCGTCAATCGTCGATTTCTGCCTGAAGCTACGCCTCGTAAAAATAAGCTGATAGAGGAATACACACTACCTGCGCTTCGCAATTATCAGCTCCCAATAGTCAATTGTGTTTGTCTCCGTATATTATAATATTAATTATATCTTCGCCTTCAATGGCAGTTTAGATAAAACCTTTGTCGGAATCTCCACAAAGTGCTTGATTTAGGTTATACTGGATTCTTGCCAAGACCGATTTCAACACTTTACCTGACGAGGTTTACGCCAGTAGAAAAATCAAGTCGGCAGAGAACAGGGGCCCATTGAAGCGGATTGGGAGATGCATTTCGGCCGGTGTTTAGGTGCAACACCATGCACTTGGACATGCTAAACTTCAAAAGCCATCTGCCCGACCAATTACGCAGTTTATCGATGTTCGACTACAACTCCTCTGCGTCATCACTGCACTTAGCTTCACTCCATATTTTTATGTCATCCGCGATAATAGGGGCCTCGCAATCCAGTTCGTTGATACAGTCATTTATATAAATCAAGAAGAACACTAGTCCTATGACAGAACATTGTGGGACACCAATTTCCACCTTTACCCATTCCGAGGTAGAGTTACCAACAACCACTTTTTGTACTCTGGAGGACAGAAAACTCCTGGTCCACTTAAACATTCTTTCTTGAATTCCTACATCCCATATCTTCTGTTAAAGAAGCGTGTGCGGGACACTTTAAAAGGTCTTCTTGATATCAAAAAATATAACATCCACTGGAGAACCCTTATCGGTAGCTCGTGTCCATTTCTCATAAACCACGAAGGCCCGTTTGTGCACAACCGTTCAAAATCCTTAGACTCGAGATAAGTTGAAATTCATTTATAACTGAAATATTTGACATATTTCTCTGTCGATTTTGCGTCGATTTTTATTAGCTGTCGAAAATAACACATAAATACATTACACTCTCCCCATTTAACCATGACTGATGTTACGTTTGCTGTCGACAAAGTAGATCTTTCGGCCATTGTCCGTTTACAGAAGTTCATCGAGAAACATGAACATATTTTTACGATTCTCGATTCACTAACAGACTCAAATAGATTCACGAACAACCTAACGAGCCTACCACAAATTGAATCGATTATACACTTAGTTTCGTCAGAAGTCG